ATAAATTTGTGTATGAATATCCTGCTGGAAGTAAATGTGTTAACCATTCCTGTGAATGAAGTTATACAGCTGTGTGATCTAAGTAGATTCCTATCAGAGATGGACATTTTGTCATTTAGAAATTAATGTTTAAGTTTTAGTGTAGATAGGCAGTGTCTTCTGAAAAGAAATTTGGCTTGGACGAGATTTAAATTAATTTTTAAAATTCCGCTAAGGGATGGATATACCAAATGAAAACTCTTTAAAAAATTATTTAAAATCTAATTAGGAACCTTGATTTATATCCATCTAATTTTAATACTTGCAAGAAGATATTGAAAATGATATTGCAGAAAAATGTGGCACTTATTCTATGACCTCATTTCCCTTTAAATATGAGAAACATTTGCATTCTTTTTATTTTATTAATACATTTGTAGCATAATGATCTCATTACTCTTGGAGAGTTGGTGCATGTACATACCACATCTCAGTTCTTTTTTCATCTCTTTCTCCACCATCTGCCCCATCCCTCCACCTCTTGGTCTTTTTCCTGTTTGGAAAATATTTGTGTCTCTACTTCATATTAGCTATCTTTTACTTTGCTCTTTGTTAAAGGAAGCAATTATTTCAAGCAGTGCTTCCAGTAACCAAAGAATCCACCTCAGACTCACTGGGATGGTTTTAATAAAGAAGACAACTAATAACAAGTGTTACAGAAGGTGTGAAACCTTGGAATGCTTATACACTACTGGTGAGGCTATTTAATGGTTTCAGCCACTTATACAGCAATATGCATTTTCTTAAAAGACTAGGAACACAATTACCATTGCAAACAGTAATTCCCCTCCTGCCTATATGTTTAAGGAAAATGAAAACATGTATTCCCATAAAATCTTGTACATGAATGTTAATAATATCATTATTTGTAATAACCAAGAATAGATAATTTCAAAACGTACATCAATTAATTCATGGGCAAATAAAAGGTGATATATCCAAACAATTTACTATTATTCAACCAAAGGATTAGGAAAGATGCATATTTATAAGTTCCAAAGGACCGGGCATTT